TGCATGGGGCGGCGGTACTGGGTCTGCGGGCGCATCTTGCTGCTCCTGTTCATCGTCATGAACATGACCGTTTCCCCTTTTAGGAAGGTGATGTTTTGGATGATCATCGTCGTCATCCTCATCTACCTGAGGTGTGGTGTTTGGCTGATCTGCTGGGATCATTTCTTCTCGAGGTGGCCAAACTCGAGTTGTGCCCCAACGATTTGTCAAAGGACACTTAGGAAACATAGTTTCGTCAAACATCGCGGTGGATGATCTGAACAAAACATTGTCTGGTGCTCTCATGAAGAGCCATCCGCCAGTGCGCTCTGTAGAGCCATCTCCCCCAAGATAAATCATCAGCTCTGATTTGGGCGATAGACCGTTTTTTCTAACGTCCTTGGGTATGAAGACGTACGCACCGCAGCCGAAAACGCGCAGGTGCGCCACAGATGGCGGTTCACCGTGTATCAATTCGTAGGGGGTAAGCCAATTAAGGCAACGAATTAGCGTCCTGTTGTGAACATGGACTGCATGATCCACAGCGAATTCCCACCAGGATGGAGGTAGACAAGCATCATGGCGCATTGCCTCTGCTTTGTCCATGAGCGTTCTGTTGAAACGCTCAGCTCTGCCATTCTACTGAGGAGTATGCGGCGAGCTCTGAAGGATCTCTATGCCATTATCCTTTAGAAGGTCTTTGAATGCAGTGGAGACGTATTCTCCCCCTGCATCAGACAACCACTTCTGCACTGTTTTTCCATATTTAGTTTTCACCATGGCTAGGAATTGCCTTGTGGCTGTAATCGCTGCAGATTTCTTGCGCAGATTTACAGTCCATGCGTGCGATGAAGCGTCATCATAGTACAGTATGTAGTATTTGTACTTATGATAGGAATCTACTGGGAAGGATTTTAAGTCCGAATGAATAAGTTCAAACGGTACCTTTGCCCGGTAGTTGGACGGCGGGAAAGACTTAGAGTGCATTTTCCCTTTTGCACATCCTTGGCATATTGGTGAGTCCTTAGGAATCTCCACCTTTCTGGGAAATCCAGATGTATGCTCCTTCGCCTTTGCAAGCATGTCCTTAGAAGGGTGCGCAAAACGGCGATGCATAGTCGAATAATCGACTTCATTTACGTTCACGTAAATATTTTGAACGTTTTCACCTGATTCAGCCACGAGGGTGAAGGTAGTGCTGTCCAGATGCTGCGGTATAAACTTGAATAAAGGTTTCCATGCTCCTGGTTCATACAGACTGATATGCTGCGCTGTTGCGCGCAAGTCTAGTCCGTCTTGGAGGAATACCCCTAATGACAAGAGACGTACTGCACAATTCTCCATATAATAGACAGGATATAGGTGCATCTGCAGCCATTGTTCGTCTATTTGGTAGTTTAGGAACACAGTTCCTTTAGCAATGATGCTACCTACCGCTCCTTGTTGTGCCGTTTGAGTACGGATAGGAGTCTGGAGATACTCGAATTCCGAGAAGTCTCTTATGTCATTTGTAATGTGCAAAGATGCACCTGAGTCCAGTAGCCACTCATTCGCTGAGAAGCGATTTTTTCCTTTACCCTTACAACGTGAACACACAGCATAATCGCGCGAATGAATACATTGTATATTTTTAAGCCGCTACTAAGTACATTTACTAATGTCCGAGCGCCGTTGTGCAAGTCAGAAGCGGCTGTTAAAGTGCTGTTAGTAACTTGTTTAGGGTTAGGATTTTGAGTGACGTACTCATTACCCCAGTCGTCGTAGCCATCGTATGGCTCCATGCAGCGGAGCTCACCCATTAACCAGTTCCGAAAGCTTTCGTCGACGATAGGGGGCGCAAGGCCCGCGGCCTGCGCTATCATGCCGTCTAACTCGGTGTCGTGCGCGTCGATGTCTTCTTTGTCTGATGCCCAGATGATGGACTTTTCTTCGGCGTCGCGGAAGTCGTCGTCCTCGCTGATGTATTCGTCATGCATGACCTCGTCGATGTGATCGGCCATGTCGACATCATCGTGTTTGCTGCACTTTGAAGCGCACGACTCGGTGTCCGAGGGGACTTCTTCGATGTGAGCGGTGCTCACGACTTCCTTCAGCGCGCGGATTGTTTCCGGCGTGCCGGCGACGTCTAGGTCCTTGGCGAGCTGGAGAGCGTCTCCGAGCCAGTCACCGCGAGCGCGCTTCTTGCCCTTGTTAGGAGCAGGTGCTGCGACTTTTCGAGTCCTGCTGCCCGAAGGCGCTAACTCGACGACGGTGGTGGTCGTTGGAGCGGGAATCGACACAGTGTCGGCGATGTGCATGTCCGCATGCTCGTCGTTCTTGTGCGAATGCGGCTTACCACGGTTTTTACCGCCGCGCTTTCCCCTAGGAGTAAAGCCCTTGGCCTTCTCCTTGCCCTTGTCGTTCCACTCCTTCTTCCCCGCGCTGCTGCTGCCCTCAGGGCGCTGCTGCTGCGAGAAGGAGGGATTGCCCTTCTTCTGCTTGATAGCAGAGATTTTCTGGGCCGACGATTGCCCCTTGTTCCTCGACTGCTCCCAGGAAGCGGTTAAGGCATCCTGGGCACCGCTTGGTGTGAGTTCTTTGATCTCGACTTTGTTGAGAGCGAGCTGTATAGCCGTCTCATAGCGGGGTGGAGCGGCACCAAGAATGATCAAGGTCCTCATCTGCGGGGGCAGAGAGAGACCGGCTCCGTCGAGTTCATCGAGGTTGCTCTGGATCTTTGCGATCGCAGGGCCGGGGTGCTCGTTCGCTGGGATACGGACATTGATCGCAGCCTTGAAGAAGGCGAATGCCCCCATGGCGCTGGTTCCTCCGTAGAGCCCATGCAGGGTGTTCCAGATCGACTTCACAGTTGTCTTAGTTCTGACAAGCTGCGCGACTTCGACGCTTAGGCGCAAACGAATGCTGCCCATAGCCTTCGATTGCATCTGAATCCATTCAAGGACTTCAGAGTGGTTAGACCCGTCCGAAGCCTGTGTAGGCTCTGCGAAGCCGTTGGGTAACTCAATCAGAATCCAGACTCCCTGCGACTGCAGGTACGCCTTCATCAGATCAGCCCAGCGACGGTAGTTCGCGCCGTCGAGGACGGGGACGAGGTTCTGGAGTGAGTTCGACATTTTGATTGATTGGTGGTGATAGAGCGGTTGTTGATATGGTTCTGGGAACACATTATCAGCGCTCTGTCTTATGCTGCCGAAATGGCGCTAGCACCACACTGGACTCATTGTTTGGGATGGCGACAGCGAAGCTGTGCATGACCTGCAGCCATATAGGCGCAAGGTCTCCCCCTGACGTCAAAGCCCCTAAGGGCGACGTCCAGGCAAGCTATCCTGACCCGCAGCGGACGCAGCCTCTAGGGCGCAGTACCGCGCAGTGTTCAGGGCTCATAACCTGACGAGCAGGCTATCTTACGCAGTGTAGCGGGTCGCTAACTTACCTGGTTGGTTAGCTGTGAGGCTTGATGCACACAAAGTTGCTGTTGAGCGACTTGGGATTGTACTACGCTACAGGGGTCTTTATATACATGTAGGAGACCATCTGACTAAGCTACTGTATAGTACCAATCCTGATGCATGTGATTCTATCTACAATGCATGTGTTACTCCTGTTACCCGGAGTACTGGTGTGTGAACTCGGCTGCCTACTTAGGCGCTCTCTATTGTTCAACAATTACTGGGAAGGACAACATCTGTGCTGATATGCTGTCTTGCCCTCATGCTTGACCAATACAAGCAGTGATTTCCTGCTGACTGCATCAACCTCTTTCCTCCACCTCAGGAGCTAATGCTGGCATGATGGAGGGAGCACTTTTAACTGTGCTGGGCAGGCCAAGCACCCCTCAAATGGTCCACCCAGCTATCACATTGTCTGCACTGGACAAGTGTATTGCTTTCCTGCAGGCTAATGCTATTGAGAAATACACCCTCCTTCATTATTCAACTGGCACACATGATTACATCTCTTTCTGCATCAATCACCACCTACCCCTTGACCCTACACCACAGACTCTTGCTTGGTATATAGCATACACCTTGCAGTTCATCAGTTCGGGCCCCAAGTACCTCTCGGGCACCCGGCACTTCTTGCATGACCTATATCCTGATTTTGACACTAATCGTGCACACCCATCAGTCCAAGCCACCATCACTGGATCCAGAAAAATCCATGCTGACCCAGTTCATCACAAACTACCACTTTGTATGAGCCATTTGGCAACTTTCTTGCATATGGCAGTGGTATTGAAGGATTTTGATGATCTGCTCTTTGCAACTATGCTCTCCTGCATGTTCTATGCATGTCATTGCTCTGGTGAGCTAGTGATCAAGAATGACCACCACCTCTTTGATTGGAGGAAGATTATCAAGTGCTCAGCTGTCAACCTCCCATGCATTGTACCACATACCATACCATAAAGCTGATTGCTTCTACATGGGCACAATGATCCTACACACAAGACATGATATTGCATGTCCAGTCCATCTCCTCCATGACTACATCAAAGAGTGTGATAAATGCCACAGAGCCCATCCCACTCTCTTCTTACGCAAAGATGGTGCTATTCCTACACAGACTTGATTTGACAAAAGATTCTTTGTAGTGCTCAACCAATCTTATGGTGGCCATTGGGCACATGCTGGAGGTGCTACATATTATGTGAACCTAGGGCTCCCAGAAGAGATCATTCAAGCCCTAGGTTGTTGGTCTTCAATGGCATGGAAAGACTACATTTGTGAGAATCCAACTATTTGAGCTGAACTTGAATTGTTGTGCTTACAACAACAGCTGCTGACAATGTAGTCCCTTCCTCACTCCACATTTCCTTCACCTCCTCCATCCCCCACACACACCATCTTGTTTGTCTCAACATATAGAAAGTGTGGGGTGCCCATTGGCGGGTGCTCCCATGTACATGCAACCACGGTCCGAGTGAGGCTTAGCCTAAGCATTGCAGAGGCCACCATATCAAGTCAAGTTGTTCTCAACCTGACCAATACCTTAATTGTCCTCGTGAGGTTATTATCAGTGGCCTGGTGGTCTAGTAGTATGATTCCTTCTTAGGGTTATATGATTTAATTATGTAATCAATTGGAGGAGGTCCCGGGTTCAATTCCCGGCCAGGCCCTTTTGATCATGTCTTCATGATGTGAGTGGTTTTTTTCCTTGTTGTCCCATTCAATCAATGATCCGCAATGGGTGTGCGAGGTGACTACTTCACCAATACTGATCTACTCATTGGCACCTCACCATTAGGATGGTGTACTCGTCTACGTGAAGGTCAAGTATATGCCCGGAAGGAGCCTGTAGTGCATCCGAGTATGCCTGGTTTGTCCCATCCCTGTTTTCACCCTGGTAAGGCTGACGCACGCTACTCAGTCGTGGTACCGTACAGTCGAGCTTGCGAGGAATTCCTGGCCAATCTCAAGTTTTCAATCCTGACGAAACCTTTACATAAAACACATATTCACAGAGTTGTATACAATCGACCAGTTCCTTTCGTGTTCGGATGCTACAGTACAACGTATCTTCTTGTTCTACTCATATACACCCTACAACAAACAAATTACTCAATTTCGGGCCCTGTGCCACGTCCTGCACCACGTCCCCTCGCGGCCCCACGCCTGCCCCCTCGAGCCATCCCAAGACCAAGCCGGCCACCGCGCCCGCGCCCGAAATGGAGCATCGGGAATCCGGGCAGGGCACCTGGTTGCACAGGTAGGAACTGGGGCCCAGCGTCTGGTTCGTCTGGTTGGTTCACAGGGAAAGCACCGGGCATGTCAAGCTGACTCTCATCGACCCCAGCGTCCTCTTCGTCCGCGGCATCGGGCTGCGGCTATTCAGTCTCGCACCCCCTAGATAGCGAAATGGTGATGCCTCACCTCCAGTTCAATTACCATGCTAAGCCCAGTTAGCTGTGAGTACTCGAGCTATAAGAAGAGGAATAACACTACGTACATGAGATATAGCGGCTGTGATTAGTTGCTATACAATAAGCAATAATACAGCTATATCTGTACACGGTAGGCTATAAGTAATGTGTTTGAACGAATAGCTCGAGCGAACGTACCTGCGAGGCGACAGCAAGAGCCGGGCTCTCGACTGTGCCCGTTCGCAGGTATAAGAGCCCCTTTGCGATAGTGGCAGAGGAGTGAGCCGACAGCATGGACGAGGCAGCCTCTGTCAGACGATCCGCTGACACTGCCTCCCCCTCTCGGTCATCAAACTTCGAAGATGTCTAGCGTCCCTGGAGAGCGCTGTCGTGCGAGGGCTTGAGCGCGAGGAGAGGAGACGTTCCGCGCCCTTGCGCAGAGGCCTCTGAAACCCCTCCTTACCCTTGAAACCCAGGGTTACATCGACCTTGTGCGATGACATCGAGAGACTCCGTACGACGTGTTCCGCCCCATTCAACAAGGGTGTTTAGGGTCTGGACACGAAGGACGTGAAAGACGGTGTTGAACGAACTTGAGCAGGATGCGCGTGCGCTGCGGAAGACCTCGCTCTGCGCTGCCTCCGAGTCCTCCGCCTTGTCTGTGAGTATGTCACATACTTCACCGTCGGGAACATGCTCATCGGGCACGAGCCCTGGAGCGCTTTAGTTCACGCTTCACCAATGTATCCTTCTTGAGCCCGCTAAGTCTTGGCGCAGCGCAGCGACGAGACGAACGCTGCAAGAACGCGGAAAGCGGTCTTCGCGTCGGCAGCGTGCGGGTGCTCCACCGCCGCTAGTGTCCTAGCAGGTGGGAGACATGCCTAGATTGTCCGTGATATCCGAACATTGTTGCGCAACCGTGTCTGAGGGGGCGTGCATTACTGTATGTTCTTCACCAGGATGGCCGTGTCAGAGCGTTGGGCTCGCGACGACTCGGACGACTCCCTGCCGTTCGTGGAACAACTTCATCTGGTTGTCTCCGCACGCGCGAGCTTGATCGCTGTGTTCTTGGAAAGAGGACGTTGGCCCAGTTTGCGAAGACAAAGCTACCGCATCCACCTGCAGGTTGCCGACAACGCGTTCCGAGCAACAACAAAATATATTGCATACTACGTACACTCATGTGCAATCGACGTCCCGTCCCACGCCCGCTTTCCGCTTCGCCTCCTTCACCGACTCCTTCGCACCATCTTCCCTCCTTGCCCTTTCGAGCCACCGCAGGTAGGAGGATGTGTAGCACATACCCGACGTCTTATACAACACTTCATATGCAGCAAACGTCTTGGGTGGCTCAGGAAGTGAGACTATAGCGACCCCCTTTGACTGCAGCGTTGTAGCGTCGAGAGTGATATGCATCTGATGGCAGATTTGAATCAGTACATGTCGAGGGAAGCATGAGTCGGAACAGAAGTGGTTCAGATAATTATACTATCAAGTTCCCAGTTAAATCAACACGCTCGCAAGCGAGTCTGTTGTCCCTAACTATATTGTCATCCGCAGAGCTGGCCCACGATGCGAAGCCAGTGGGATGGAATGGAGAAGACGCTCACCTTGAGACCACTGGCTCGTGTGATACATAGCTCGCAATCCTGGCAAGGGATCATAACCAACACCAAGCCGATGCAAGCATGTCGCAAGGTTGCCGGAAGGGTAGAACATCAGCGTTACCCACAGGCTACGAAGCATGTCTCCGCAGAGTCGGCGCCGACGAGTGAAAATATATAGTTCTCCTGAAGATCACGTGGCACAGTGACGCACCAAGATGCGATCTTCACGAGCGCCTGAGCCACCGACCTTGCCTTCAGCAGGCTGTGCTCCGTATTCCACCTCTTCAAGGCCTTTGACAACTCTGCAAGTCTCTCAAGAGCTTCTATCTGGTCGAACAAGCTAGGCACGACTGGGCTTACCTACTCCGCCACACAGACCGACGCGTTCTCTGCGACTAAGTACTCCCCTGGTATTCCACGCGTCCAAACATGCCGCGCGGTATCCCAAATGCGAAGCGCGATGAAAACGCGATGCGCTTCACTTCATTTCACGTTCCATTACCGTTAGTTGGCCCATTGTAATCACTGTCCCATGTATTGAGCACAATGCGGTATGCTACAGACCAAATCCAAAACACATGGGATCGACCTATCTGAGGTCAGAGGTGCAGACTCACTGGTATCGCAACGCTGTGCGGGCGACGGCCGCCGCGAGGAACAAACCCACCCAAGAAGAAGCCGGCCCGTCAGTCGGGGAGGTAGGCTCTCCTATCACGTCCGTGGTCTAGGCTACAGTCGCATTTCAGGCTCGCCGTGGATCCAAGGTCATTGTCATACACCCTGGATCCCGATATTTGCGCATAGGCAGGGCATCTGATGTCACCCCGGTAACGGTCCCGAATGTCATCGCTAGGAAGCACAAACCTCCAGTCCCGGAACCTCGTTCTATAGAGAGTATTTCAAGACCAAAGAAAAAGATTGCACGGCCGGCCTCAAGTGCAGCATCGAACAGCGACGAATACGCTGTTCCTTTCACGTCTGACGACCCAGTGCGCATAGCGAACTCCTTATTATCATCTTAGCTTAAATGTTTCACACTCTACAGTTCGACATGAAAGTGGCTGCCATCACTATATCTCTTCGTGATCGTATGCGCTTCTACAAACTACGTGTCACGCCCAATGCCGCCAACATCGCCTCAACATTCAATGAGCAGTTTCAGCCAGAGACAATACCGGAGGCAAATGACCCATATCGAGTTGACTGGATTCGTGATGATACAGAACCTTATCTTGTCGGCGACCAGGTCTGTCCCAGTGCCCACAGCAATTGCACGTCTTGAGTGACACCCTCCTTGAATGACAGGCATTGCGGATCGCAGCCCCTGCAGCACAGGGATATATCGCCAAGTGGCCAATATATAGCGGCAAATTCAACACACGGGACTATCCTTCGAACGCGATGATACTGAGCGACATAGAGACCATCATACACAGCACACTGAGGGACCGACTGGAGATCGACTCCAATACATACAAGGTGGGACCTGACAACTCATTCGTGGCGACTTCTGATTTCTATCCAGGACTACTCCGTGGTCCTCGTAATCCCGGACTTCTACGACCGTTTTTACGTCCAGGGTATGGTTAGGCTGTTTCTCATGATCATGGGTTTCAGGCAAATATGTGTGCAACAAGTAGGTCAGTCCTGTGTCCAGAGGGGGACTTGCTTATTCGAAGCTACCAGGAATCGCTAGCAGCTACATACGGCGCCGGAATATCTAACGCTTGTGTCGTCGACATGGGTGCGACGACCACGAGCATTGCATGCGTAGATGACGGTGTTGTACTTGCCGACACAAGGTAAACCCCAGCAGATGCGGTCTTGGTCACTACTGACGTATATGCAGAATGTCCCTAAACATGGGTGGAGATGACATCACCGAGTTCCTCCACGTCCTCCTGCAGAGAATCAGCTTCCCCTACAGAGGGCTGGACCTGTCTCGTTCATACGACTGGAACGTCGTGGAAGATCTGAAAGCACGTTTGTGCACCCTCGCGGAGGTACGAGCGCCACCGAGTCCAGATTCAGCATGAGATTGAATACCGTCACCAGGGAGACGTTGCTCTGAACCTGTACGACTTCGTCGTGCGTCGACCGGGCAAGCCGACCCAGAAATATGGTCTCCGGGCGTATGACGAGATCATCCTCGCTCCGATGGTACGCTGCCACGAGGACTCACTTTGAATGGCTGAGCGAACCCCATCCAGTGTCTCTTCGAGCCGCGCGTGATCGAGTTCGACCAGAAACGCGCAGGTATGCGCCCGATTGCGCACCCGGACGTCACGGAAGATATTGTGGAACAGATGTCCGACCACTTCGTAAGCAATCGCTCCCTCGCAGCGCGATACCTTATCACTGAGCGTGGTTACGGGACATTAGACCCAGGCGATGGTCATCTCGACGCAGCACCTGCTCCCCGCTGCAATACCGCACCCGATTATCTTTGAGCAGATGCAAGGCCTTGTTCAGTCCGGGCCCCAGACACCCTGCCTCGGTCAGCAGCCTGCCTTCGTCGTCGCGCCCCAGCCAGCCGGGGAAAGCGGTCCTCCGCAGACATCCGTTAATACGGTCGAGTCCTTGACGGCATCAGCAACGCCCAACACCCCGAACACAGCAAGCAAGGCCGAAGGCGAGGCCTCGGGGTCC